ATCTGCACTGTGGTTTACAATTCTCGGACAGGATGCTACAACTCTGGCAAGTTATCACAGCGGCAATCGTTCTATCTTTTGCTGCAACCAGATAAACAGGAGAAAAACAGTATTTACATTACAGAATGATCTACCAGTGACCAATGCAGTGCCTTGCTGAGTGACGGCACATTTCTTTCCGGCAAAAGCTGAGCTAGACTCTACCGTCAACCTCACTTCTTGCTTGTTTCCATTGTTCTCACGGCCAACTAATGTGGGCTATCAAAAAACAAACAAACAAAAGAAACGTTTTCAATGCAGTTCGAAATACCGGATAAATTATTACAGCAGAAAGGAAAATGCACAATGAGCCAAATAGTCTGGTGGAGAAAAGCCAAAGCCTATATTCTGCATTTTGGGTTTTCCCTCATTTTCCTTCCTTTTGCTGTGTAATAACTTTCCTGTGAAAGTAAAAGGTCTGCAAACTTCAAGGTCCACACCAAAGAGACCTTGAAGCATTGAAACTTTGCTCCTTACCTGCCTGAGACGAAGTCAGGGCTTTCCTTCTTTTGCCTATTTACATCACCATGTAGCACATTTGCATACCATCTGTCTGGCAGCTTGTTGGCACGACCCCAAACAAAGAATGAACAGTTGCTTTCTCGCAGTCCGCCATTGTTTTCTCACATGAGCCACTTCTACTGGAGCAACATCTGTCTGCCTGAGATCTGGGATTAGACTATGTTACAATGGTTACCTTTTATTTATTGTTTTAGGTGACCAATCAGAACAGACTGGACTTTTCAGGAGGAGGGGCCTTAAAGAGGCAGGTGCTCAAACGAGGGGTTTCCTATGGTGGGTGAAAATACATGCGCTAGTATGAGAAAAATATTGTGTTTTTTGAGCATTAAAGCATGTAAACATATTCTGGTAGACACTAAAAACACACATATACACCTATAAATTTGCATGATATGGGCTCTTTAAAAGAAGTCAGTTCAGGGGATGTTCCAAAGCCTCCAGCTGACCCATCTGTGTGTTTTTATTTAACATCGTCTAATACTTAATGAACGGTGAGATTAGAATGCTGTCAACCATGTGATTGGTCCAGGGCTTTAAATGAAACATATTCTCTCTCTCTCTATCTTCACCTGAAGAATCTCTAACAAATAGGAGCGCTATTGTTTTGTTTTTCTTCAGGTATGTGATACTTCTTAACTCGACTCTCTGCCGTCCGTCTGCTCAAATGCAAACTCAGTCTTGTGAGTAATCACTGAGGACTTTGTGCAGTGTTTCAGTTTAACGACTTTGTTTGGATGCAGAGTTTTCTGTCTGTGAAAAGTTTATGGAGGAATGGAAGGAACACACATTCGCATTAGGCTGTGGGTGCTTTGTTCATCAACTCTGCAACCTGTGGGAAAAATTAGCTAAATGTGCTAATTATAGCGCTCGTTAAAAGCCACAGATATTTCGCAGTGTGTGAGTGTTCTCCGCAACCTTGATATAAACAATTAATTTGAATAATACGTTGGCTTATCAAGATAATCGTGTACTGATTGTAGAGTCGACAGTTGAATCAGATATCAAACTGTTAATAAACAACCTCTTATTGACTTGCCTTACTTGATTAGGGAAATAAAATGAAATGTTTATAACACATTTTATTAGAGTGGATTTAAACACTTAACAGACATAAAAATCTTCAAATATTCAGCAGTTAAATTGGAGCTAGTTCTATTTTCCAATTTCAGGCTGAATTAGTGTCAATGTTTGCTTTCCGAGACATAAAATGAGACTTTAACAGTCCTGAGAATAAGGAGGTAACTCAGACTTTACATTCCTAAGTAAGACAAGAATAGTGGGACATGCAAGAATGTAATCTTCCATCGGACTCATGGTCAGTGGTCAGAGGTAGCAATTAATTTTAATTAAGCTCACAGCAGGAGCGATTATTGCGATTGTGTGCTTTTAGGTTGCAGAGGAATGGAAAAAAGTGCTAAACAAACTAGCAATTTGCACACCTCCCAAGTGCCAGAGTAAACAGAATAGCACCCACTTCATGTCTGTGTGTATTCAGCTTGGCAATGTGGCCTCAATCAGCACGAGGTGTGAAACAACGTGCTGAGGGAGATAAAGCATGTAAAAGGTGCTTTGTGTTTTCTGAATGACACTGTAGCTGCTCTGTCATTGATAACCTGCAGCGGGCCACTCAGGGCAGGATATCAAGCCTCAAACATCTGCTTGGATGACTTTCTAAATATCTCAGGTTTTTGTGGTTTGCTCCTGCATGGATGGAAGCTGTCTGAATCGTCCAGTCCCCCCTCGGTTGTGTTTTTACCTGAGCTTGACTTTTCTTGGTACCACTGTTGAAGATGGCTGCCAAGAGAGAAGTCTGCTTTTCCTCACAAAATGAGAAATCAGCAGGGAAGGCTACAATGACCTGTGCATGGCTCAGACACGGAGATTCATTTGGAACGCATATCCTTAAGCGCAGGTTTAAAAGTCTTCAAGAACCAGACCCTGCATTAAAAAAAAAAAAAAAAGGTCATTACATCGGGCAGTTTATTAGCCAAAGGGAACTGTGTTTGGTTAACTTAAGATTTACAAAAACTCCTCAATTAGGCAGGCGTCTGTCTCAAGTAGCCTGACTTTTTAAGGAGAAATATTTCACTATCAAAACGTTCCTGTGGTAAAACAGTAGGAAGGGATTAGAAGAAACAAAAACAACTCAGCGTTAAATGAGCCTGGCAATCCTGATGGCACGTAATGAGAACCATATTTGGACTTCACCCATGCAGCCACATTAGAAATTAAATATTCCGGTGTGTGAATTATTATTTCTTAAGTGAACTGACATGTTAGTTTCATTTTGAAACTTCCTTAAGTGTGCGATTAAGTCTTGCAAACAAGTTTAACTAAGTCATTTGAATTATCCCCCCCAAAAAATAAGTGATTTGAGTTGATTTTTTTTAATAGAAATGTGCATTAAACGTCTGTGATTTCTTAGTATCTAATACTTGGTAGTAGGTTTGTATATGCAAGTAGTTTACTCTGCACCGTCCCACATGTGAATGCACTGGATTGAGCCTATCTGTCAAGCGTTTTTAGGGGCGATAGTTTATGATACGTGCTGGTCAGATGAAAAATATAAGGGTGACATTTTCCAGACTTTTCACCATCATTTGACCGTAAACTAAATGAGTCGTGTGCTCAAGTGCTTGTGTGAATTAGCTCATTCAAAATGAAACAGAGATGCATTTATCTACAGCGGATGGTTTATGGCTGATGTAGCAGCTGGCTAAGTTCTTCCATTAAATTATTTTTCAAAGAATGATTCTCTGAGCATGAGTTTAGACAGGTTCACAAATTGTGATACTTTCCATGGCTGCAGCTTAGTGAGCGTTGTTTATTTGGGAGCTAATTTGGCCAGCTTTATTGAGAGGCTCGCTGTGGCACCGTTACAGGCAGAAATATTGTCCCACTTGAGTTGGACACAAGCAGTAAATACACTGCAAAAAGTGTAGTTAACAGGCCATTTCATCTCATATTCAGGCTGTAAATCATGATTTTCTTCAAACAATCAGAGGGTTCTGCTAATTGGCTGATACGAGTTTGTTTGTTTCCTGTGCAGTATGTCTTGTAGGATAGCCTTTAATGAAGCAAGCTTTATTACTCTACTGTCAGAGAAATGACATTTATATCAAGAAATGTGTCATCTAATTGGAATTTTTGTCACTCTTAACATATAGCTTTCCCTTTTTTTTCTCTTAAGGTTGTTTATGAAACTTTTTTTTATGGATTTCCTTGAAATTCATGGTGTCTTTGGACACTTTGGGAGCTCCACTATCAGATCTTTTGTAGGAATTCAAAGTTGTGAGAATTTGAACAAACTTTTTCTGCATAGCAAGAGTTTATTGATTGTTCACAATAGCAAGATGCTGCTTGCAGAACTAAACCAAGCTCTTTGAGTGAATTAAACTGAGATTGATACATATTTGGGCAGTTTGTGCTTCATTTGCAAAAGAAAGCTCTACCTGTAATATGACTACCAAATATTTAGATTCATTATGTAAATAAATGTTGCAGCAACAGCATTTTGATTGCAGGAAAAAGCAGGAGAAGTACTTATAGTATCAAAAGTAACTGTGCACTTGATCACTATTTGTGTTAGATTTTACTGGATTATCAGCACTGATGATATAAATAATGACATAAAAGTAACACTTGAATGTTAAAATTATTTAGAAGAAAGCAACATGTATTAATATTATGCAGTTTTAATCAAAGCTGTGCAGCATATTTTATGAGCTAATATGTAAAGAAACTGAATCTATCTAAAAATAAATAAATAATAATAACTTTTATGCAAGTGCCACAGAGGTTTAAAGAAGTATTTGTGTAAATGTGCAGTTACTGTCACTAGCTGCCGCTTTTGCAGGACGTTTTGGTGTTCTGTGAGCCTGCAGAGACTCTCTGCAGCAGGATTCACTAGTTGACCAACACCCCTGAGGAATGAAAGACTGATTTGAGGAAGTCTGGAAAACCGACAGGGGGCGTCTCCTCTCCCTGCGTCCCCCCTCGCCTCCCCCCTCAGTCACCCCCCCGCCCCCCTTCCAGCGCGGTGGAAGAAGGAGGTATTGGGGATCTCCTCCTAGACAACAAACCCACATTCAAAGAGGGGCACACGAATTACATCACGGTCCGTGTGGAGGATATAACTGAGGTCGCGGGTTACGCTCAGCACTTTTTCTGCTAAGGAGACAACTGGAGCATCATGCCGAGTCCAGGCGCACGGAGCCCGAGGAGACATCTGAGCTTTGTCGCGCAGCTGATCATTAAAAACAGTTTCCACTGATGCTACTGCGGACGAATATTTTATTTCTGTTAAGGACTTTTATCATGGGAAACTGAATTTTGAAGGGACACTCGAGACGCAGGTTTGGATACGGCTCACGCGTAATTGCGCACAACAAAGTGGCCTTTTAGCAGCTCCGTGTGCGCGCTGGTCTCCACCGTTTAACATGGATCAATCTCAGCAGTGTGTGGCCATGTATCTGCTGGTGCTGTCTCTCGGACTTCTCATGCAGAGAGGGATTTGTCAGCACTACTACCTTCTCCGCCCCATCCCGAGTGACAGTCTGCCGCTAGTGGAATTAAAAGAGGACCCGGATCCTGTCTTTGACCCCAAGGAGCGGGACCTTAACGAGACCGAGCTAAAGAGCGTCTTGGGAGACTTTGACAGCCGCTTTTTGTCCGTTTTACCGCCCATGGAGGACAAATATACCGGGAACGATGAACTTGATGACTTTGAGATTCAAAAGCCAGGTGGAGTACTGCCGAAGGAGATCCGAGCGGTGGACTTCGACGTCCAGTTCGGCAAGAAGCACAAGCCCAGTAAGAAACTGAAGCGGCGGCTGCAGCAGTGGCTGTGGGCCTACTCGTTCTGTCCGGTCGTGTACACCTGGACCGACCTTGGGAACAGGTTCTGGCCGCGGTTTGTACGAGTGGGCAGCTGCCTGAGCAAGAGGTCTTGTTCTGTTCCGGAGGGGATGGTGTGCAAACCTGCGAACTCTACCCACCTGACGATACTGCGATGGAGATGCGTGCAGAGGAAAGGGGGGCTGAAATGCGCCTGGATACCGGTGCAGTACCCCATCATCACAGACTGCAAATGCTCCTGTTCAAGTTAAACAAAAGAGACTCTAAACATAAATTATAAGCTCAGTATTTTTATGATTCTTTTTTCACATGCACTACCGAGTGTAGGAATGTATTTTCTGTATATGCGGTGCCATGCAGTTATATATAACTCCCTGTACAAAGTCAGTATTATTTGTAACCAGAGTCTACTTTATTTGTGGAGAATATTGGTTATATATTTTGTATTTATGGAGATATGGCGCATAGAGCCACGTAAAGACTTGCTGTTTTCCATACGTGGATGAAGCAAATCGACCTCAGAGCTGAGTGAACGTGGATTATTGATACAGCCGTGCATCAGTGACTTGTTTTATCCTGTAAATTAAGGAAATGTGCTATTTATTCTTTATATTCGTACAATAAAACGACACTGAAATGATTTAAAATGCCTTTCCTTTCCTTCTTCTGATTACTTTCACCCAGTCTGAACGTTGGATACCTTTAAGTCACCTGCCACATTGCGCTCAGTGTGTAGTTCTCACGCTAACACCATTTTACGCATCACGTACTTTTTACAATCATGCGCTTATATGCTGCACGATGGTGTCTGGTTTACTCCGTCTTAGAAACACTGCATCGTTATAGAAACAAAAAGAGGATTTGGTGATAAACTGCAACTATTTCTTGTGGATATTGGGTTGTATTTAACAATAATTCAGTATTAGTTTTTGATCGTGTGGACGAAAGTTCTCTGCTGGTCTCCAGTTAACCAGCGCTATCTTATCACTGGTAAGGCTGTCAGTCATACATCAGACTCATTACAAGCTGATAAAGGAAGCAGCAGAGATTCGGTGACTGAAGGAATCAGCAGCTGCTCACAGGTTTCACTCTTTCTTGTGCACAAGCCCTCCTCCCCATTTGCAGCCCAGCAGGAGCTGAGTTGAGAGCTGGATTTCTGCTCCATTGAGAGGAACAGAGGTTGATGCTGCACATGTCTTTAAAACTAAATCTGCAATCTTAAAGAACTGTTTTCTAACTTTGAAAGAGTGGTTCAACATGTAGCCTAAAGCTTGATTGCAGGTGATTCTTATGTTTTCTGGATAAACTACTAACTATTAAAAATAGTAATTAGAAAAATCTAATATTTGAAAAGAGATCACAGTGAGTGATTACAACCCAATACAAATGTATGATCTCATAGTTTAAACATAACATGCATAAATATGAAATATCCTCCTTTAATAGAGTATGATTTTGATTTAGATTTACGTCTGCTTTACTTGTATTACCACTGTATGTCAGACTACATTTTAGTGGCAAATATTGTATAATTGTATAACATAAATGCCATCTTGTCAAATATGCTAAATTCTTAGATTCAAATCATGGTGGAAGATTGTTTTAGGTTCTTAATTAGAAGTAGCTGCAGCACAATGTAAAAATATGACCATAAATAACAATAATCATTGACAACACAAAATGCTGTCAGTAATAGTATTTAATCTTGTAGTAATTCATAAATGTGTGCTTTAATGTTGGAGGTGGTGCAGGTGGGGCTGAGTTAGTAGTGCAGTGCAGTATTATCAGTATATATAGGAAGTAGACGTAGTAGTCGTACAAGTCGAAATTGTGCTCATGTGCAGTACTTGAGTAAATGTAGTTGTAGTTACTTTCTGATTAGATTGTGGTAGTTGAATTAGCGCTACCTTGTCCAGCTGCAACATCAGAATCTGATTTCACAGTAAAGCATTATTTACAATATTCTGACATTCTAATGTGTACTCATGTCTTTTCTACATGCTAACGTTGCAGGACTTGTATTTTGTACTTGCACATTATAGTTTGACCCTTTTAATGCAAGGAAGAGACCTGAATATGTCCTTCACCACAGTGTAGCACACATCCTCTGGCATCAGACATCACGTCTTAGTCGTTTATTACCATCATATTGTGGCAACTTTCACTGACTCCACATATGATAATACCAATCAATCCCCTAAACTCTTACACCTTTCCCCTTGAGTTTATTTTACATTTAGATCATATAGACTGTACATTTCATGTTAGCTTTCTTCAACTCTTCATTAAAGCTGCATGATGTTGTATGTTTTAACAGCATCACATCAAAAAGAAATACTGTAGACATTTTGTGCATTACTTTATTAGCTTTTCCCCATAATTCAAACTGACATTTTTGTACTTTTTCAGAGTTTTGAGGCCACAACTAAAATCTAGAGTAAAGTTCTGGGGGTTGGTAAAGATGGAGTCACTTGCCACAATAATAATTTTCAATCTCTAATCATTTCGTGTAGTCGCTTCGCTCAGACACTGACTAAGACAACCTCCCCCCCCTCTGTTGTTCCACAGCCTCAGTCGGGTAGACAGTAGGGCACCAGAAAGCCTGTGTTTTGTTTTAGTTGTGTTTAGTCCATAATGATGCTCCTCAGCCTTAGAGCCAGCTCTGCACGTATGCATGCGGCACACAAATCCTCGTACTTGTCACCGGATAGTAATGTAAGACCGAAGATCTGCACGATGCAGCTTAAACAAACACAACGTACAGCCTTTGATGTATGTGTGTGTTGGATCCTCTGTGTTTGACATTAATCTTCTTGTCTTTTCCATAATGCTGTTTGTCCCTTTGCTCAAAGCCAGCGTTGGTCAGGATTCACAGTTGACAAGCCCTGTGGATACCCACCTATTTCAGGTTTTGTGTGTCATAGAAAAGCTCTTTGAAGGATTAGAGCCAGTTAACAATTGCTCCGGTTAATAGTTTCTTATAACACGAATATATTTTTCAACCTTATTTTGTCTGTTGTTTCATGAAGCAGGTGCCCTTCACAGTGTATTTCTATTTCCTTCAGCAAGATCTTTTCAGTCATATAGTTTATCCAGTGTTTCTTATCACATCTGTGGAACACAAGTTATTCCTTGTTCTGTCTTCTTCCACAAGTTTCTACCTCTCTCTCCTTCAGTCTTTCCTGCTGTAGCCGGGCAAAGTGGTGACGCTGGTCAGATGATTTGTGTGTGAAGTAATACGTGTTGACAGAGCGCTCGGTGCCTGCTAATACCAGCTGCAGACTGGAGGATGCAGGGTTGCTAATGCCCTTCGTCACTTCTGAGCCGGCCCTCAGCTCCCAGCGTCGTCGCTCAGCGTGGCGCTTCTCAAGCTTCGGCTCTCCGCAGATCTCTGAAGTCTGAGATACCCAACAATGTAATGCTTTTAGCCACCAGCAATCCATTAACTTAATGATCTCTTTGGGTATAGGCTTGCTTTACTGCTTCTCTGCTTCTCCCTCCCCCCTACTTTAACCTAATCAACCTTTTTTTTCTATGCAGATATTCTGAAGCCAAAACCTTGTTGCTGATTAAATTCTCCTACAGGGTTCAGATTTTTTCCTGATCAAAGCAAACTTCTCCTTGTTAGTTTTGCCAACAATATCAAACACAAGTCATTCATTTTTCATTACAGATGATAAAATTGGTTTTAATAACTTTGACTGGCTCATTAATAGGCCAAAGGTAGCCTTTGTGGCACCCTTGTGATGAATAGAATAACAAGCCGAGTATGCCAGCTCAGTTTGTAAAAGTCAGACTGCAGACTGATGTTTATTCAGTGGAAATGACAAATTTCAAATAATACTGTTAAACAGTTCGGCACATGAAAGGATGTGCTGTAATGATCAGGTTTGAAAGCTCTGAATACACAATCACCACCGTACTTGGACCACGGCTCTGTAATAAAATGATACACAAAGTTTTGTGCTTTTATGCAGTGATGAAAGCTGGAAAATATCTTTTGATCTTCATAATGCTGGTAGTTAAGAGAAGCTTTGACTGGCAACAGAAAGTGTTCTGTTATGAGACACACTGCTTATAAAATATATCCTTTAAACGTAAAAAGCAGGACTGAGAACAATTTCAAATGAGCGACTGATTAGTTCAACTGTGAACTTTTATTTTCAGGAGCTCCATTTGGAAAACATGACCTTAAACTGCAGCTATCATTTAGCCACATGATCATCACTGTGCTATGATCTGAAACATTAGCATTTGTTTTGTCCAACACCCGTTAGTAGAGGCTGTGGAAGTTGGAGGAAGCTTTAAAGCAAAATGATTTATTAAACAGACTAACCTCTGCAGTGTTTAACCAATCTTTTCCCCCAATTGTTTTTCACACTTTTTCTTTTGTACATTTCTAGAAAGTATTGAAAATGTTTAGATGATACAATAGTAATTTAATTTGGGGGGAAATATGTAATAAATTGACAACAAGAACTAGAAGAACAGAAAGTTGATTACATAACGCAGACTTGAAGAATATCTTTGGCGTCTCTTGTCCAAAAAAATCTTAACTTAATGTCCACTTAATAGCTTTTCCTAGAACTTTTGTCTGCATCTTATAATCTTCCTGAGCAGATGGAATTTGCTCGCTTGTCATGGTGACTCCTCAGTTGCCAAGCTGCCATCACATGACCCACGTATAGAAGTGACTCCATCTGTTGAGGAGCACTGAGATGCAGTCGAATGCTCTGTAAAATAATAACAAGAAGAAGAATAAGCTTGTAAGGGTACCTTGAGTTTAAATTTAAATACCGTTTGGGCCCATTCTGAAGTTATTTTATTTCAGTGAATGTATCAAAAAGATTAAATATAGTGAGGATGAGAATGTACATGTAAAACTTTAATTTAATGCTGCAAAATATCAAAGTTAATACAATTTTTATAGAGAATAATAATAGAATAATAAAGATTAAACATATGGGTAATAACTAATTAAAACTTCTGCATTACACAACAGCTTTTATTTATTTCCATCGCAAAGCCTGTGTTTACTTAAAATCACAATTGGTTAATGTTTATTTTCCTGTATTCACAGTTGTTTCCAAGTGAATAAATGATTTCTTTAGTTGGTCCACGATATTGTAGACTTTGCAATAGAGATTTTATACTGTTTTTACCCAAATTAACGTTGCTTCAAGTGAAGAAAAAGAAAATAAAGACAGCAGCTAAGCGTGACCAAATTGAGAATCACCATTAACATGTGATTTCTGCTAATGAAGATGTATGTTTTAGGTTTTAATCAGTGAATTAAAATCTGTCATGAACCTATCTGACTTAATTTAACTTTGAGTTAATTCCACGTGTTCGACAGTGAAGACAATCCCTGCTTTAAAGATGTGGGGGGATTTGTCTGCATACATCTGTCACTATGATCAAATCTAAAGAAATCTGAATAAGTTTCATTTATTCACTGTCC